GGGGTCGCAGCAGACAAGTCCGATAGGATGGTGCCGGGCTGTTATTTTTTAAACGATGGGGGACAAAAATGTGCAAGTAGCTCCAAAGCCCAGGACTTGCCTAGGCATTGATGATGAACAGCAGCTGCTATACACAAAGGAGCCACGCGTTTGCTTATTGGGATCAGTAGCTCCGAGCAAAAGGAGGAGGAAAAAAAAAAAGAAGAAAAGGGTGCTGATCAGAAGCGGGACAAGCTAAGCAACCCCCCTCCCGGCACAAAACAATACAAAAACACAGCCCAAAGCAGAGATCACATGCAAGCCACAACTACAAGAAAATCAAGCAGAAACTCCGAAACACATCCACAGGACTTTATTCCACCAATCAGGGTTTGTGCAACAAAAATAAAAAGAGATGAGTTTGTATGAAATGACCTCTCTGCCTTGTTTCAAAAATCAGAAAGGGGAGGAGGGATTGGTGGGGGGGTTATTGAAGAACAAAACAGAAAGGGGGGGGCGGAAAGTCTTTGCAGCCAACGGTTAGAGAGTGGAGTTTGAAGAGGTAGAAGAGAGACGGGAGCTGCTGCTGGCAGGGCTCCCTAGGAGAAATGAATAAGTAATAGGCAATGACAAGCAGGAGCTGAGTCCCTCCCATCCAACCAACCCCCCCTCCTGTGCCACTCCCACTGAGTGCAGCTGCTACTGTGTACACAGTGTGGACATGCTGATGGAAAGAGGCACCCACTGTGGTTACGGGGATGCTGAGCCGCTAGTGATCCAATGCTGGGTTCTATCAACACTGACTAGGTGATGATATACTTACTACAGAGCTCCCGTTTACTCTCAGGGCACTTTGCTGGCATGCGCTGCTCTGGGCTCTGCTGTCACTTACATGATAATAAACTCCCTGCGCTTAGTTCACCCAGTTAATGCTTTGTATGGCTGCTGCGATTCAGTGTGTGTGTTACTGATTCTGCGATCCAGTGTGTGTGTGTGTGTTACTGATGCTGCGATCCAGTGTGTGTGTGTGTGGTACTGATTCTGTGATCCAGTGTGTGTGTTATTAATGCTGCGATCCAGCGTGTGTGTGTGTGTGTGTGTTACTGATACTGCGATCCAGTGTGTGTGTGTTACTGATACTGCGATCCAGTGTGTGTGTGTGTTACTGATACTGTGATCCAGTGTGTGTGTGTTACTGATGCTGCGATCCAGTGTGTGTGTGTGTTACTGATGCTGCGATCCAGTGTGTGTGTTACTGATGCTGCGATACAGTGTGTGTGTGTGTGTGTTACTGATGCTGCAATCCAGTGTGTGTGTGTGTGTTACTGATGCTGCAATCCAGTGTGTGTGTTACTGATGCTGTGATCCAGTGTGTGTGTGTTAATGATACTGCGATCCAGTGTGTGTATGTGTGTGTTATTGATGCTGCGATCCAGAGTGTGTGTGTGTGTGTTACTAATACTGCGATCCAGTGTGTTACTGATGCTGCGATCCAGTGTGTGTGTGTGTGTTACTGATACTGTGATCCTGTGTGTGTGTGTTACTGATGCTGTGATCCAGTGTGTGTGTGTTAATGATACTGCGATCCAGTGTGTGTGTGTGTTACTGATGCTGCGATCCAGTGTGTGTGTGTGTGGTGCTGCGATCTATGTGTGTTACTGATACTGCGATCCAGTGTGTTTGTGTGTTACTGATGCTGTGATTCAGTGTGTGTGTGTTACTGATGCTGCGAGTCAGTGTGTGTGTTACTGATGCTGTGATCCAGTGTGTGTGTGTATACTGATTACTGATGCTGCAATCCAGTGTGTGTGTGCGTGTGTGTATACTGATGCTGCAATCCAGTGTGTGTGTGTATACTGATGCTGCTATCCAGTGTGTGTGTTACTGATGCTGCAATCCAGTGTGTGTGTTACTTATGCTGCGATCCAGTGTGTGTGTGTGTTACTGATGCTACAATCCAGTGTGTTTGTTACTGATGATGCGATCCAGTGTGTGTGTGTATACTGATGCTGCGATCCAGTGTGTGTGTGT